CTATGAGCCCTTCTTTAGTCAGTTACAGTTGTGACACCCCATGCATGTGCAGGCGCACACACACATGAAAACCCTGCCTCCTCTGTCAGCCCAGATAACTGATGTCCATGGGGTCATCTTCCCCATCCCGATCCTCGTATGTGTCACTCCCATGCCCTCACAGCACTGCCCTGATATTCATGAGAGTCCCTGGACTAGGCACCTGTGAGCACAGTCTGCAGCCCACATAGGCCCCCTCCCTCCTTCCCTCTCCCCTCCCCCTCCCTCTGGCAGCTGCAGGCCCTGGCCCAGCTGGGGGCGGCCCTGGGATTTGGATGGGTGACTCAGGCTGAATCATGGCCCAGCTGCTCCTTGGCAGCCCTCTCTTCCATTCTGCCCAGAGAGCCTATTTTGAAGGCAGAGGTGGGCCTTGGGGTGGGGATAGGAAGAGAGGGAAGTGGGGGATGGGAACAGTGAACAGGGGCACTTAAGAAAGAGGAATCAGGCAAGAGAGGGCCTCTGAGCTGTTCTCTGCTCCCCAGTGGTCTGCAGGCGCTCTCAGGCAGCCTCTACCCTTGTCCTTCATTCTTCCAGGGAAGGAGGTCCTTCTTCCTGGACATAGGCCATGGGCTCCCTTTCTGATCCCAGGGCCCGCTTTGGTTGTCCTGCCTCACCTCTTGGCCCTGATAATAATAACAAAACAATATTTACTATTCTAATTGTTCGCTCACATGTTACAACACTCTACAGTTTGCAAAAACAGTTTTTCGTCAGTATCTCATTTAATTCTCTTATTAGTGCTATGGGGTGAAAATTAGTATCCTCACTTTTGAGCTGAGCAAACTGAAGCTCAGAGAGGTAACATGGACTATCCAAGGTCACCCAGTTGGTGAAATGACAGGCAGGAAACAAGCTCAGGATTCATGGTCCAATTTGTGGAAGATAAGCATTAGGGAGAGAGATAAGCTACAGCTGAACATGGTGGGGTATGGTGGGAACATGATAGGGGGACTGTGAGATGGCATGGTGGGGCCATGGTGGGGGGCATGGTGAAGGCATGGTTGGGGCATCAAAAGGAAAATGGTGGGGGCGCCTGGGTGGCTCAACAGTTAAGCCTCTGATTCTTGATTTCGGCTCAGGTCATGATCTCAGGGCTGTGAGATTGAGCCCTGTGTCAGGTGCCTTACTGGGTGTGGAACCTGCCTAAGATTCTCTCTCTGCCCCCCCTTCAAAAGAAAAGGGGGTGCTGGTGGAGCAGCAGGGAGGGGCACTGTGGACAGTATGGCAGAGGCATTATCAGTTGCTTAGTGTGCAGCAGGATCATGACAGAATTTTTTTCTTTACCCTTTCACTTCATGGGTTATGGAATATTGACACTTTTAAATCTTCTATTCAGTGTTTTAGGCCAATACCCCTAGGCTACCAAATTCAGAGTTGTGGAGTTGCTACTGAGAAGACTTTGCTATGGGGCCTTAGCCTCCTGAAGCCTCAGTTTCCTCATCTGAAAAAAATGGGCCCAGGCCTCTGGCAGGGTAGGGTATTGAGAGGCACAAATGAAATCACACTTCATCATGCCCTTTAGAGGCTGTGAAGGACTTCACAGAAGCAGCTGTTTTTTTACATTTTGTTTTAGCTCTTAAAAACCACCCATGGATGCTGGGCAGAGGGCGGGGTGGGCTTCTGGGAGCCTGGAGGCAGTGCTGAGAAGGGGAGTGGGTGACAGCTCTTCCCTCCCCTGCCTGGGCTTGGCCTGGCCTTCCCCCACCCTAAGCCCAGAGCCAGTTTCTAGGCAACGGGATGGATGCAGGGATGGTTCGGAGGGGAGAGAGCTATAAATAGGGAAGGGAGAAAACAAAAATAAAGTTCCAGAGAAAGCTGTGGAGCCACATTACTAGGGGTGGGGGTGGGGAGACCGGGAGGGAGACAGGCAAATGGGAGGAACACCAGGACAGCCCTCAGCCCTTCATCGGGGGAAGAGGGCAATTTTCAGACAAGCCAGCCAGCAAAGGCCCTCCGAGTGTGGACATGGGTGTGGAGCAGGGCTGGGGTGGGGTCTCTGGTGCACAGCTGAGCAGGAGAGGGTGATGAGAAATCACGTCTGGTTGGAGAACTAAGGAAAGATCAGAGGAGGAAAGGATTTCAACAGGCAGAGCAGGGGCAGCTGTCCAGTTGGAAGAGCACAGACAGAGGAAGGGAAGGTATGGGTGGGCCAGGTGAGGTGGGGCTGGCCCCACACCTGCCATGTGGCACAGACTTGGACAGGTGGGCCCTTCCTCTACCACAGTGCTGGTCTCCCCAGAGCTTCCTGTGCTAACAACCTCCTTTTCATTCAGGTTTCAGCTCCAACCTTACCTCCTCAGATGCCTGACCTGACCATCGCAATTTAATACCCTCCACCACACTCTCCTTGTCATAATTCCATCACATCACTCCATTTTATGTTTGCCATAAAACCCCAGGTTATCTTGTTCCAAGTATTTGTTGACCTATGTATGAGAGGTGAGCTCTGTCAGGCCAGCAACCTGCTGGGTGGTTCCCCGCAGCCCCTCACTTCTGAGAACAGTGCAGGCATTGTTGGAGGGCTGATTGCACACAACACACTCTGGAGACATCCTTGCTCAACACTCCCCTCCTTGCTTGCAGTCCCCACCAAATTGCACAAATGTCTGTGATTTCTGCTCTGTGGCTGCCTTCCACGTTTCTCTCTCAGAGCAAGTTCATATTGGAAAATTCTAAAGGAGGTGAGCTTCAGACTCAGACTTGGGGCTGAATGTGACCTAGGATGAATTGGGGCTTTAGAATCACAAGGAGGGGATCCCTGGGTGGCGCAGCGGTTTGGCGCCTGCCTTTGGCCCAGGGCGCGATCCTAGAGACCCAGGATCAAATCCCACATCGGGCTCCCAGTGCATGGAGCCTGCTTCTCCCTCTGCCTATGTCTCTGCCTCTCTCTCTCTCTCTCTCTGTGTGTAACTATCATAAATAAATAAAAATTAAAAAAAATTAGAATCACAAGGAATCCTTGAGGATCGTTTCAAGTAAAATTAATTGAGTCAAGTGTTGGATGCTGGGGACATACTGGGCACTTGAGAATGGCTCTGTCCCTTCATAAGGGAGGAACCTATGAGCTGTATCTTCTCACACGTGTGCCCAGTCAGGACTGGGATGGAACACAGGGCTGGCATCTTCCACAGGCGTCTGGGCCTGGAATGCATTCAAAGTGACCCTGGCAGATGAGAACGTTGGTCTCTGAGCCAAAAACCAGGTGTGTCGCTTGGCACCCAGGAAGGAGGAACAAACCTCCCCACAAGCCAGATGGTGAACCTGGTTTTGGCATCTAAAAATGGAGATCGGGTGCTGGTAGCGGGAGGGGAAGTGGCAAACTCAAATTCTTTACCAGTCAGGTAGTTCATAAAAATGAGTGAAGTGGATGAGACGAACATGATAGGGAGGGAAAGCGACTGTCGCTAACCGGAATCAAATGAGAGAAAATTAAACCTTGTGTTAGTTAGCACATTAAACATCTCCATAGGCCAAATTTAACATGAGGGCCACGACTTTGCAAACCTCGCGAACAGTGGGATTGTAAATAGTGTCTTAATTCAGTCAAAAGGGTTCTGAGATTCTGGCATCTGCACGTTAATTCAGAGAATCTGGGCCCACCGGTTTGTTCTCCCTACACACACGTCTGCCAGCTGCCTCCTACTTCCAGAAACTGGTCGCCCACTGCAAGCCAAGGTGACCCGAGCGCCCGGTCTCCCGCAGCGTTCAAGGCCTACGGGGCCTGGCACCATCTCTCGCCCCCGGCGACTCGACTCGGGGAAGGACGAAGCGCTAACACCTGGGGGTTGATTAAATAGAGCCAGCTCTTTCCAGCCTTGGGGCTCAAGGCCGAGGCAGCGCTAAAGTCGGAAAGGAGGTCGCACCCGGAGAGCAGCGGATGACGTCTTGCGCAGACTAGATGGGGGCCTCTGCGGCAAAACAAAGCGAGGTTCCCGCGAGGGCGGGGGCGGGCCTCTATAGGAGCCGGGTTAGAGAGCCGGGGCGGCAGGGGCGGCCCTAGCGCGGCAAGGCGGGGGCGGGGCCTGTCACCGGCGGGGGCGGAGCTTCGGCGCGTGGGGCGCCTCGACGCGGAGCTGGACGGAGGCGGGGCCTTGCGGCGTCTCCGCCCCCTCCTTCCCCACACCTAGGCGGTGTCGGGGGCCCTCTAGTGCCGAACCTTATCTGCTCGGGGCTCCTGGCCGGCTGGCCAGGTTTCAGCGGACCCTCGCCCACCTCAGCCCCGCAAACCTTCTGACGCCTTTCCGGGAGCGGTGGAGCCCTGGTTGCCCGAGCTCTGCCCCCTTCTGAGGCCATTGCCCATTCCCTACCCCCCGGATTGGTCTTTCTGTGTTGGTCAGGTGTGCGCAGCGGTGTGCGCCTGTAAACGTTCTGTCTGCGCGTCACAGGGTCTTTCAGTGCCCCCGCTGCCGGTTTCCGGGGGCTCCTCCGCGGCGCGCGTGGAAATGAGAGCGCGCGTGAGTCTGCACGTGCCGGTCGGGATGCGGGCATGCGTGTCTGCACGTGCGCGCCTGCCAGGGGGCGTACACTGGGCTGGCGCATAAGGACCGGTGTACGCGCACGCATGGCTGCGCGTGCGTTGTCATCCGAGCCCCTGGTCTGCGGGAGGTGGGAGCCCGTCCACCCTGCAATGCGGCGCCGGGCTTCCGTTGCCCTCGCACCCCCAGCGGACGCCTTGTGGTCCAGCAGGTGGCGCCGGAGGCCACCGTCACGCCTCCTAGCCGACAGCAATTCCCAGCCCGCGGGTAGACCCTCTCCCCGCAAGTCATTCCGGGGTGGTGGCGATGGGGATAGGAGCTGGAGAAACTGAGGCCGGAGGTGGTCAGTCTTGTACCTGGGCTGAGGGTGCCAGGCCCCCAAAAAGCCGAGCCGAGCAGTCTGGGACCTGGAAGCCCGTCGTCAGCCCCCCTCCCCCCCTTCCCCTCCCCACCCTGCCTTGCCTGGCGGCGGCAGGTACAGACAGATTGGCTTTATTCGTGGACACGCGGAGCGGGGAGGCGCCCGGGCCCACCCACCCAGGACACGCTCACACGGGGGGTGGGGGACTCTCCATGCCACAATCACGACACACGACGCCCGCGTTCGGACTGAATAGGCTGAGGGAGGGGACATGGCACAGCCTGGCTCCTGGCTTTGGCTAAAAAAAAAAGATTCTTCGGGTCGTTGTAAGAGTGGGGTGGGAGGCTCTGAGGCTATCCGGGGGGGCCCTCAGAGAGCCTCTTTTGGGATTGTGTTGGGTGGGGAGCCGTCGCTTTCTGTCTTCGTTTAAAAATACATAGAACATGCTACATCCGCGCAGACGTTGGACGGGATGGGGTGGGGAGGGGGCAACATAGGTGGGGCGAGGCCACCAGCCACGGCCGTAGCCCCGGCCCTGTCCACGCCCCAGGGTTGGACGCGGGAGGGTAGGACAGACAGATGGACAGACACCAACACAGGCTCCAAGGGGGCGCCTCGGAGCAAAGGAAGATCTCGCGTTTGGGGGGGAAGGGGTAGGACAACCCTGGCTCTGGGGGCCTGGGTAGGGGACAGGGAGGGGATTGTGCTGCTGGTGGGGGGGCCCGTCCTGGACCCTTACGCCTCTGGCTCATACTCCTGATACTCCTCCTGCATCAGAGGGATGGGGTGGAGTGGGGAAGAGCAAAAGAGGAAGGCGTTGGAGACCCAAGTGGCCAGATTCTGGCCCTGAGACTCCTCCCCCTCAAGGAGGAACAGTGCATGCCCCTCTCCCTGGGCAGGGGAGGAACCTGGAAGGTGGGGACAGCTGGGACTTTCCTGGGCAGGGTTGCCTGGGGCCCAGTGCTAGGCCCCATCTGTCCTCCCTCTCTGCTGCCACCTCCTAGGGCCTGGGGTTCTAGAAAAAGGGGGTGCCAAGTTCCCTGGCCCAACCCTATTTACCGGGGACCTCCCACCCCAGCTGGGGATGGTGGCAATCTTCTGGATGCCCAAAGCCCGACCCAGCCCTGCCACCCCTCACCTGGGGTGGTTCCTCATAACTCTCCCCTTCTGGCTCCATCAGGGGCTCGATCAGCGGCTCCTCAGCAGCTTCCTGGGCCACTTCCTCTGGCTGCCGGCAGAGAAGGGACAGGGCCATGAGGGCAGCTGAGGATGCTCCCCAAATTCCTACCCTGGGAAGCTTTAAGTTGATTGGAGGAAGGCTAGGCTTTGTTGGCAGTACAACCAGAATGTTTAATTAAATTGTTTATTTGGAGTGCCTTGGAAGTGGAATGAAGGTATGAGGGGTGAAATCCCCCTAGATCACCATGAAGCTGGGGGTGGTGAGGGGAAGCCAAACTCTCCACATCCCTCTCCTCAGCACCTGGTAGCCTCCTGTACTTCCACCATGTGGACTGGATGGGATAGGGAAATAGTACACTAAATCCCTGATTTATCCCTCCTTGCCTTGTGTCAGGCTCTGCTGGGCATCAGGACCCCAGAGATAACCCTGGAGGCTCCTCTAGGCTGCAGGGAGATGGAAGCTCTGAGACAGGGCTGGGCAGGAGCTCTGAGCTATTCCCCTGCCACCTTCCACCCATCCCTCCCCCAGGGTCCTATGTGGCCTGGTTTCTTCAGCTGTTGCTATTTTAAGATAAGCTGGAAGCAACAGCTCATGGTGTTGCTTGGATGTGTGAGCTAAGACTCTCCCCTCCCCACTGCATCTGCTGCCCAGACGGGTGCAGGCCAACAGGCACACAAGTAGGGGGGCTGTCAGACACATGGCCAGCCACCTGCAGGTAAGCACACGTATGTGCCCAAACACGAGACTGAGCTAGCTGCATAGGGCATGCACAATAACCTAGCTGCATACAGGCATGCACAATAACCATGCACGGCTGCACATGGCCATGTGTGGGCTGGCACACTCCTGGACCCTTGAGGGGGATCTGTAGGTAGAGGGGCATACCACCTTCCCATTTTCCACATATAACCACTGTTCCTCTCTACTGGGCAGAGATAAGAATCTTGGGAGCCTGGGGGGCTAGCCCCAAGAAGGCCTGCCTGCCTGACCACCTCTGTGGTCTCATTGCCTTACCCCCATCCAGGCAGCTTCAGTTCCTGCACATTAGCACTGTAGGTGGGCATGGTGGGCACACGAGTGTACAGCTCCTGACCTGGCTCATTTCCCCTGGTGCACAGATGGGCACACCAAGGCCTAGGAGGTGGGGAAATGTTAGTTTGCCCAAAGCCACCCAGGATTCAAAATTCCAGCTTGAGCACATTGTTTGGAAACGACCCGAATGTCCAACAACAGTAGAACAGAGGTGTGCACTATGGCTCATCACAGGATGGATGCCCCACAGCAAGAGAGGAGAATGGTGGTGCCTCCCAAGCACTTGAATGCTACACGGTTGAGTGAAAGCAGCTGGGGACAGAAGAGTGTGTACGTGGTAATAACAATCTCTATGGAGTTAAATAATACCTAGCTCATCCATGGTGACAGAAGTCAAGAAGCCATGACCCTTGGTTGGGGAGGCAGAGCCAGGACAAAGGTGAGGTAAAGAAGGCATCCACTCTCAGGGCCAATCAAACGAGACCCCAGAGTGAGAGTCCCCCTCATTTTGTGCCCCAGACACCTCACTCATCTTACCCTAGTCTTGGCCCCGGGGGTTAGGGACTGGACGGAGGTCTATAGCAGACTTCTAAGGTGCTTGTGTTCTGTGTCTTGACATGAGTGCTGGTTATGTGGGGGGTTCGCTCTGAAAATTTCATCCAGCTGTGTGCTTTCTGGATGTATGTTGTACTTTAATAAAAAGTTTACTTAAAAAACATCCCAGTCTGGCCATTCACTAGCTGCTTGCCACCAGGTCAGTCACTTCACCCCTGAACTCAGCTGCCTCAGATGGGAAACGTATGGTGCAGTCTGCTCTGTAGGAAGAGAGGGCCCCATAATCATGCACGTGAGCAGGCTGAGGGTGAGGACACTCAGAAATGTGCACCCTGCCCTTGGGTGGGTTCCCCATGGCTGGGTAGCTCCAAAGGGCTGCTGTTCAAATAGTAAATCCATGATCTTGAACTCCCTTGAAAGGTGTCAGAAGAGCTGGTAGGAAGAAGGAGGCCTGAGAGAAATGGTTCTGTGCAAAGGCCCCTTGAGGCTGACAGCTGAGGCTCAGAGGCTCAGATCTGCTTTTCACTGCACGTCAGGTCCCAGCTCGGGGCCTGGCCCTGTGGTGGCTCCCAGCAACTCTGCTGACATATACCTGAGCTTATCCTCCCAGGCACCTTCTTAGAGAGGCAGGCAAGTCACTTTACCTCTCTGGGCCTCAGTTCCTTCATCTATAAAATGAACAGGTTGTAGTACCCTCTTCCCAGAGACATTGTAAATATTCAGTGAGTTACTCCATGTAACGTGTCTAGAACACTGCCTGCCCATACAAGAGCTCAATGAATGGGAGCAATCCCTGGAACACTGATAATAAATGGGAAGTCACACAGCTGGTTAAATGTATATCCAGGCCTTGAGCCAGAACTTCTGAGCCGAGTCTCAGACTTCTCACAGGGGAAAGGAACAGCTGTGTAAAATGCCTGCAGTGAAGGATGGTGTGGGGTCTCCTCCACAGCCCAGTGGATACATTCATGCAGAATGTACATAATCTCCCAAGCCAAAAGTTAAAGGAGCCAGGACAAATCTGTGTCTGCCCCACAGAGGCAGTCTGTACTTGTATGTGGACAGACACCCAGCACCTCACAGGAGGAATGTTTGGAAGACTAGAGGCCCACAGAGTGCACCGTGGGCATGGTGCTACACTTCCATGCACACCTGTGGTCACACGAGTCCTTGGGGGCAGACATGGATCACTCATAGGATCACAGGGCCATCATCGCTCACTAAGCACTCAGAGTATGCAAGCCAGGCCCTTTGCATCAGTGGTTCTCAAAGTGTGGTCCTTGGACCTGTAGCATCAGCATCACTTGGGTACCTGTGTGAAAAGCAGACTCTCAGGTCCCATCTCAAACCTACTTAGTCAGAAATTCTAGGGATGCGGCCAACCATCTGTATTTTAATCTGACCTCCTGATGATTCTGATGCACGTGTAAATTTTGAGAACCTCTGATCTATATATCTGATCTGCTTAAGAGCCCTATTGTGTTCATTTTCAGTCATATAGGCAAAGAAGCAGGTTCAGAGATGTGAGAGAATCTGTCCAAGATCACATAGTCAGGATCTAGTGGAGTTGGCATTCAAATTCTTCTCTGTGGCATTTCAGAGTTCACAGCTCTTATGCTGTAGTGTGTCCTAATGAAGGTGTCTGCCTTCATGCACATGTGGGTAGCTACCACCACTCCCCGGGGGGAACATGCCTGTACAAATATGTGATGCACAACTCACCCTTCCCCCATGGCCCACACTTGCTCATGCCTGCCTCAGGGCTTTTACCCATGCCATCCTACTGCTTGAAATACAATTCTCACATGACTTGCCTCATCCCTTGGGTGTCAGTTCAAGTGTCACCTCATCAGAGAAGCCCTCCCAACTATAGTAGTCCCCTTACCCACTCACTCTCTATCATATCACCTTTATCTTTTCTTCATAGCATTTATCCCCTGTCTGAAACCATCTCATGTATTGGCTGGCTTTTTACTATCTTCTCCCGCTACAATGTCAGCTCCATGAACCGAGGAACTTATTCACTGTGGCAACTCCTAGAATAATTCCTCTCTAGTATGGATACTTACTGAATGACAAGAAATCAGTGACAAGCAGATGTGGCCCCAAGTGGTACAGGTCACACTCACAAGCGGGATACATGTATACAGCCAGACGTGGGTCACTGTGACAGGGAGCACCACACTCATACACACCGTGCGAACTCATTCTGAGCTGAGTCTAACAGAGCATTGCAGAACATGAGGCAAAGTGTGCCTCAGGCTGGTTGGGGCGGGGAGGGGGAGAGAGCCTTTATGGGTAGTGCATTTATGGGTGTGCCTGGCACATGTGTATGTGCATATGTGCATGTGTGTATGTCAAGAGGATAGCTCACCTTCAGATCAGCAGGGAATTCCTCCTTCTTCACCAAGCCTGTGGCTGCCGCAATGTTCCCAGCCCCAGAGAACACAGCTCCTCCCAGATGGGACGCCTGCTCCTTGGTTTTTTCAGCCACTGGAGCAGGGAGAGGATTGGGGAAGGGGGTGGGGGGCTAAGGTGAAGCAGACAGAGATGCATCTTTTCTCCCTCGTGGTGTCCCAGGGCTTGCCTCCCTCACAGAGCATACGCTCAGGAATCCACCCCCACCGCCCACACTCCAGATCCCAGCCAGATCTCCAGCCCGGGTGAGGGAAGAGGGCTGTGCCCCAGCTGGGCTGGTACCTGAGGCCACTCCTTGTACCACCCCCTCTCGAGTCTTGCTTCCTGCAAGGACAAAAAGGAGCACACATAAGGACTCTGAGTTGAGGGAACAGACTCTGAGAGCACTGTGGCTACAGAGCCTCCAGAGGGACTCAGCTGGCAGTGGGCATTCTGGCCCCATCACTGCCTCCTTGGGTCCCCAAATCCCACAGGTGCCCCTCTCATCACTGCACGGAGCCCTCCACACCTGCTTCCTAAGGACTTTGAGTTCTTCCCCACTGTCTGCCCCTCCTCCACCTGAAATGATACCCACACCCTCTGGGATGTTGCCTGGGAGCCAGCAAATGCAAAGCACATTTCCTTGAACTCTCAGCCCAGGGTGAGCAGGTGAGGGTGGCAGTGAGGGTGGAGCTGGGGTGAGGGGTATATATTTGGAAAGGTTCCTCTGGTACCCTGACTGCCCACATCCCACCTATGGACACTCACGCCCAGCAGCACCCCCACTCCATTTCTTCTAAAGACTCTTCTAACTGGGGTGTGAATTCCCCCTTCTGGCCAAAGTGAGGAGTGTCTCAGGTTTATGACGGGATCTGAGGGTGGCGGACACTCATGGCACTGGCTAGGTCTTCTCAGAAGGGTAGCTGCTGGGGAGGCAAGATGGCCTGATCTGAGGGGAGGGGCAGGAGCCCTCAGGGTAGTGGGGAGTCTCCTATCTTGAGGATGTGGCAATGCACAACAGTTGTAGACCCAAAATGGGTAAATGGGTGTCTGCACGGGCTGAGGCTGGTGGAAGAAGAGGACAGCATGGGAAGGCAGGACTCTCCAGGCTATGGCCAGCCAGATTGAGATGGTGGGGTAGGCTGCATGGCACTCCATCATTCCTCCCACTAACATTTGTTGGCACCTGCTCTGTGCTGGGTCTTGGGCCAACGGCTCACTGTCAGATGGGGGTAAGAGAGGAGCATATTTGGTGCCCTGGACCTCAAGTAGTGGGGAGAGGACTTCCAGCCTCCAAGGGGACATGATGGGGGAGGGGCACTCCTGGGCCTTGACGGATGAGGGGTAGGTGGATATGCAGAAAGGAGACTGGGGAGGGCACAGGAAGCCATGCAGACAGGGCACCTTTCTGGGCCTGCACAGAGCACATCAGCGCTGCCTGTGCCTGGAGAGATGGAAACATGGACTGAGGAGAACCATGAATGGCACTGAGTTACAGGCTACAGAAAGCTGAGGCTTTAATGCTTAGGAACTGGGGCCCATTGGTGGTTTCTGGGTAGGAAAAGGAGCAGGAGGTACCAGGCTAAAGGGAAGGGGTTGCTTTGAGTCCGTCAGCAGGGAGACTGTGTCAGGGTGCCAGGAATACACAGGAGTGAAAGGGCTGGGTCGGGGGAGGCAGGAGGGAGGCCAGAGTTGGGGTGTGGCAGGTGTGGGCTCAAGCCTCTGCCTTGTCCCCATCACCTAGGCCCTAGTTCCAGCCACCCTCGTCTGCTGGCTATTCAACGGCCTCCCTGCATATGGCCTTTCTCCAGAGGCCCATGGAACCTTCCTATACTGAGGTCAGATCATACCAGTCCCTAGCCTACGATCTCTCATGGCAATTGTAACGATCCTTTGCCCTGGCCAGCAAGGGCCCCCCACCCCTTCAAGAGCTGGCTCTTGCCCAGTTTTCTGATCTCATCCATCACCACAGCTTCCTGCCCTCTGCTCTCCAGCTCTATCTCCTTCAGCCTTTTTCTGCTTCCTCCAACTCCCTTCCTCCACCCAGCTCCTTATTCTTTGGGGTTCGGTTCCAATGCCACCCTCTTTGATTACCCTACTGCAGTGGTCCCCATCCCAGCCACTGGATGTCAGATTCCACTATTGGAATGATCTGTATCACAATCAGGAGAGTCAGCACCTACTAGCACATAGTAAGAAGTCAATAAATATTTTTCAAGTTACCACAATCCCAAATCTGCCACAACTCTGGGGCAAGTTAATCAGCCCTCTTCCACCCACAGAAAGGATAATCCTGCCTACTCCACACCAGTAAGCCCTGAATCACCACCATATAAATTCAGTAATTGTCAGTTTGGGGCTTTGCATCCCCTGATGTGAATGGCCCTGCAGGATCCCTCTCCTCTCACACTTAGGGTGAGAGATTTTAATCACTGGGCCTTTCTCTTCACACAGCTGGAAGCTGCAAGGAGGAGGGACCCAGAGGAGGGACAAAAATAGGCATCCAGAGGCAGGAAGACCCTAAAAGCAGCTCTGTCTGAGTGGCCGTGGCTGTAGCAGGAAAGGGGCAAAGGGGCAGCCCTGATAACACAGGAGGAAGGACCTCCCAGGACAGGGGTTCTGGAGTCCATAAAGCTTGGCTCCAGTTCCAGCTTCAGATCTCAGCAGCTGTGTGACCTTGAGCACTGTAGTTAAACCTCTGGGAGCCCCACTTTTCTTGGTCTGTGGAATGGGCAGGGTGCATGAAGTGAGGTAATGGATGTTAGGGCATTTCCCAGGGTACTTCGTAAAGAGTAAGGGCTCAACACCAGGTAACTAGTAATCACATGAAGAATAGGAAGAAGGCGGCTATCTGCTTTGACCAATGCATGGGTCCTGGCTTTTCATCTGAACCCCACTCTCACCAACTCCCCCCCCCCCCACTGACCCAGGCTTCCTTCAGCTGGCTGTGTCCCCAGTGACCCCTGCTGACCTCGCCCCATCTGCTGACTCATATTCTCCCGCCCGGATGCCTCCCCCACCAACTCCCTCCCTCCAAAGACCCTGGCCCCACTCCCTCGAAGGACACCCGAACCCTGCTGAGCCTTGCCCCTTGCCCACCGACATAGAGGACGCCCTCCTTGGTCTTCTCCGCGGCCTCGGTGACCCCCTGTTTGGTTTTCTCCGCGGCGGCCACGACGCCCTCCTTGGCCATGGACAGGCCCTTCATGAACACGTCCATCCTGGCGGCCTGCGGAGGGCGAACACACGGGCACCGCTGCGCTGGCCCCGCACCCTGTCCCCAGTCCTTCCCCCGGGGACGCCGGTGCCCCCTCGCCTCCCTCCTGAGGCCCGAGCGCCCTTCAGGGCTGGGAGGTCCCTCCGGTCTTACCCCCTCCCCAGCGGGAGGCCACAGGGCCGCAGCGAGTCCCAGCGTCCTTGAAACCCGGGGACGCGGGAGGAGCCACTGCCTCGGTCACCCCCGGCCCTGCAACCTGCAGCCCCGCGGAACCCGGGTGCTGGGCTCGGCGCGAAGCCCTGGGACCTGCCCGTACACACACGGCAGGGTCACAAGACTACACACAAACATTCCCCACCGACACGCTCACGTGCACATACAGGACACGCAGACGTTCAAACGCGCACGGACACCCGGACACACACGAGCACAGGGGCGCGGGCGCACGTCCACGCGGCCACCCGGGCAGTTGCAGACACAGAGCGGCAGTCGCCCGAACACCCCAGGGCACACGCTGACGCGCACCTGCCGGAGCCCTCTCTCCGTCCCCGCTCCCAGCCTCTTCCGCATCCCGCCCAGTCCCCTCTCCCTCCGCAGCCCCTTCTCCAACCCCGGCGTCCCGGGCGCGGCCGCCTCACCTGGAAGCTGGGCCCGGGCTGGGGCTGGGGCTGGGGCTGGGGCAGCGGCTGCGGCTGCGGCTGCGGCTGCGCCGGGCGGACGCAGGAGCTCGGCTAGGCCGGGCTGCGGTGGGCTCGGCTCGGGATGGATGGGGAATCGCCGCCTCGCCGGCGTGCAGGTCGGTCGGCAGCAGGCGGGGCGCGGGCCCTGAGCCGGGGCGCAGCGGAGGTGCCCGGGCCTTCGGTGCGTCGCCAGCCACGGATCGCGCCTTGCGCCCTGCTCGCTCGCACGCTCGGGCTCCGGTTCCCGCTCCGGCGCTGCGGCAGCTCTGAGCTCAGCGCCCCATCTGGCGGCCGCGCCGCCCCCTCAGCCTGACTGACAGGGGGCGGGGAGGATGACATCTCCACGGAACCCGCTAGCCTCCCAGGCCCGCCCCCGACGCGCCACTGGGGGACCCCTGGGCATCAGACTCGCGTCCTGCTCCCAAAAGCCTAATCGGGGAGGGGGGGGGCAACGCATAGTGCCAAGAGTAGGGAAGAAATATTGCCGGCAGTTGGCTTTGGGGTTCAAATGGGTTTGAATCTCAGCTATGCTTTATATTAACTGCGGGGCCTTCCTTTCTGAATGCTAGTTTCTTTTTCTGTAAAATAATGGATGATTCGCTCAACGAGTGTTGATTGAGCATATAGACAGGTGCCAGGCAGGTTTGATTCTGGAGACAGTGGAAAAGGAAAACAAGGTCCCTGCCCTTGGGGAGTTTACAATGATGTTTGTGTGTGCGCAGAAATGTGACATAGGACCGAAAATAAAAGTATCAACACTAAAACCTAACGAGGTTGTTTCAGCTTGTGAGGAGTGTTATGAACATAATGGAATGGTGATGTAACAGAACGACTAGAGGAGGGTACTTGAGAGAGTCCCCAGAGAAGGCCTGTGTGAGGAGGCCAGTGGGAGCAGAGACCCCAGAGAGGCACCCAGGCCAATAGGGGCAAGATCCATAGAGAGGGACCTGCAAGTGCAAAGGCCCTGAAACAGGATTGCGCTTAGGAACAGATGAAAGGAAGTGCAGCTGGAGAGCCAGGGGTGAGTGAGAAGGATGTGGACAAGACTGCTTTTGTGTGTGTGGTTATGGTGGGGATTGTTAAATTGCCATAGAACGCCAGGCACACATAAGCCCTCAGTTGAAGCGATGACAGAATTATGCCCCAAAAGCTATGGGATTCCAGAGGAAGGTGACTTTGGCAGCTTAGGGGAATCAGGGAAGTCTACACAGAGGAAGTGACATCTGTACTGCGTCTCATGGAAGAAGTAAGCTTTTACCTGGCACATAGTCAGAAAGGGTACTTTAGGCTGTGGGTATAGCATGGGCAAAGGCACTGTGGCTGGAAATGCAGGATGTGTAAATGACAGGTGATGAGGGAAGGAGGCAGCCAGACTGTTTTGAGGGCCTGGGGAAAAAGTGTTCATAGGCCACTGGTAGAGCTGCAAATTGGTGCATGCTTTTTGGAAAGCAGTCTGCCAATGTTTACCAAAAACATAAATGCATGCACCTTTTGAGCCAACAGTTCCCCTTCCAGGAATTCATTCCTTGGATCTACTCACACAAATTGACAATAATGTAAATGTCCATCTGTAGGGGACTGGCTAGTTAGTCGTGGTACATCCACCCAGTGAAATGCTATGCTGCTGTTAGAAAGGATAAGCAGGACCTGTGTGTACTGACATGGGGGTAAATCAAGAAATGGTGTGAAGTAAGGGGGGGAGTGCTGAACTGTAATGTGTGGAATTAGTCAGTTTTGATACATAGACATAGTCATATACAGACCCCTTATATACAAATAAATACATACTTACACTTAGATGTACAAAGATCACACCAGCAAGGACCTCCAAAGCACTGTTCACAGTAGTTGCCCCTGGCAAATGGGGCTGAGAGCACTCAGGGAGAGAAGTTTTTACATTTTATCACTTTCCTTCTTATACTGTCTAGTTATGTTACATTGAATAGCATTTTACTTGTATAATTTTAACAGCTAGCATGGGGGACATCCTGTCATTATTTTTGGCCTCTCAGCATTGGAACTATCCCCTTCTTTTTTAAAAAATTCTTATTTATTAATGAGAGACAGAGAGCACAGCAGAGACACAGGCAGAGGAAGAAGCAGGCTCCATGCAGGGAGCCTGACATGGGCCTTGATCCCAGGTCTCCAGGATCAGGCCCTGAAGGTGGCGCTAAACCGCTGAGCCACTTGGGCTGCCTGGAACTATCCCCTTCTTATGTTTAAGGGATCTTCCACATTCTGAGGCAGGGCCCACCTCCCACTCTGTTTTCCTAGCCTTCCTAGCTCTGACATGTGGCCTCAGTCCCAGACACCCCAGTCCCAGACTTGGAACCCGAAGAAGCAGGTAAGGAGGGCAGTCGGCTCTTGTGAGGACAGGTGGTGTTGGTGGTAGCAACTCCTACCAGAGATCATAGGTGGCAGAGACACTACTTCTGGGAGCACCCAGCACCAACAGGGCAGGGTGCATCATCCATGTCCAGCTCTATAACACTGGGAGTTTTCTAGGGTCTGCTTGGTGGTGTGACTTGAAGCATTATTCCAGGATGCATTGTCTTCAAGGGGGACTCTCCTTTCCTGGAAAGTTTCTGAGCTGCCAGTATTAGATAACAAGATCCTTATCTGCTTAAATTAGCCAGAAGCAATTTTTGTGACTTTTGACAAAGAGTTCCAGAATGTCAAAACAGGTGATGAAGAACCAAGCAGGAGGGAGAGGAGGAAGAGAGAAAGACCACACAAAGGGTGTCTGTACTTTCTACTGTAGGAACTAGGAAGTCACTGGAGGATTTTAAGCAGCAGAGACCTAAATGAGATTGGCACTTTGTGGGGCCACATGGAGGTAGGTTGGAGGTATGGGACACAGCCAGATGACGAGAAAGCTGGGGCAGAATTCATAGGAGGGATGATGGAGCCTGAGCCAGGAAGCTGCAGTGAGGCTGGAACAGGGCTGGAGGGACAGTTGGGTGTTGTTTAGAAGGTAACTTAATAGGTGTTGGGGAAAAGAGGCAGGGACGAGTCGGGGAAGATTCCCAGGTTTCTGGCTTGGACAGCAAGTGAGAGATACTGTTGCCAAATTAAACAGGCATTGAGGAGATGGGGCAGCTTCTGAGATGGGGGTGGGGGGAAGGAGAGCTTATTTGGGACTTGATTGGGACTGATTGTGTGATGCCTGATAGACAAACTGCAGGAGGGTCCAGCAGATAGGACATCTGAGCCTGGAGCTCAGGAGGTCACCTGGGGCTGGCTTCAGGTATAGATTTGGGCCATGGTACACTTGGAAATCTTTAATATGTGGCTTTCTAAGCAGGGAAATACCTTGCTTTGTAGAGGTTGCCCACATCCGTGGTGTAAATTCTCTCTCCGTGGTTGATTTCACTGTCAATGAGATGTCACAGAGCAGAAAACTGGAAAGATATGGGCCTTTTACAGTATTTCCACCATACAGATGAAATAGGTAAGAACAATCTTAAGAGTCTGGATAATAGTAAAATAATTAGAAAGTTATATTTTGAGTATTTATTACCAGTTTTAAACATAATTTATGGGGATCCCTGGGTGGCTCAGTGGTTTAGCGCCTGCCTTCAGCCCAGGGTGTGATCCTGGAGTCCCGGGATCGAGTCCTACATTGGGTTCCCTGCCTGGAGCCTGCCTCTCTCTCTGCCTTTCTCTCTCTCTCTCTCTCTCTCTCTGTGTGTGTGTGTGTCTCTTATGGATAAATAAATAATATCTTTAAAGGAAAACATAATTTACATGGGGCTTCTGGGTGGCTCAGTCAGTTAAACATCTGCCTTCAGCTCAGGTCATGATCTCAGGGTCCTAGGATTGACCCTGCTTCGGGCTCCTGCTTCTCCCTCTCCCTCTGCCTGCTGCTCTTCCTGCTTGTGCTCTCTCATTCTCCCTCTCTGTGTCAAATAAAGACAGTTTTTAAAAACATAATTTATATAACCATAAGTTTATATAACTTAATTTTTTAAAAGATTTTATTTATTTATTCATGAGAGGCAGAGAGAGAGAGGCAGAGACACAGGCAGAGGGAGAAGCAAGTTCCCTGCAGGGAGCCTGATGTGGGACTCGAACCCCGGGAATCTGGGATCACGCCCTGAGCCAAAGGCAGGTGCTCAACTGCTGAGCCACTCAGGTGTCCTGATATAACTTAATTTTTAATAATGACTTTAACACCTGGCTCGCAAACTCCTGAAACTTTAATAATAGCTCTCATGAGCTGGTCTAAGGCAGCCTGGTACACCACTGGATTGGAGTTATTAGCTTGGAGGTGGTGGCTGGAGTCATGGGGAGGATGCTATTGCCCAGGAGAAATGGAGAGTGACAAGGAGAGGGTCCAGAACAGAATCCTGAGGCACTGCAACCTTCATGTGTAGCCAGGGCAGAGAACCTGGCTAAAAGACTGAAATGGAGCAGCACAGGGAAGAGGAGAAGCTGGAAACAGTGGTAGCAGGGAAGCCAAGAGGATTTGAGGACAGCTGGCTAAATGTACAGAGGAGCCAAAGTGATGAGGATGAGTCCTTGGATTCACAGCAAGTGCGCCGTCAGGGACATTAACAGTAGCACAGGGGCTATGGGAGCCCAGGAGGGAAGGGGCACCTATAGAAAGCCTCCAGGAGAAAGTGACATGTGGGTTGGTTAATGAGAAGGACCTTAACAAGAGATGGTGAGTGTTCTCGGCAGAGGATTCAGCAGTTGGAAAAATTCAGAGTACAAAAGGAGCAGAAAACAGGTTACATTCTGGACCAGGCAGGAAGTTCATTTGGTTGCTAAATACAGAAGCTTAAGCAAAGCAGGTTTTTATTCTTTCACTTAAAGAAGACCAGTGGTGGGCAGGCCTTAGTTGGTTTGATGACTCCACATTCATCATCAAGAACCTAGACTCCTACCTTCTTGCTCTACCATGCTTAGTACATGAATTCTACCTTGAAGGTGATCTCATGGTCCAAGATGGCTGCTGCAGCTCCAGCCATCATATCTACGCAGAAAGCAAGAGGAGAGGAAGTGGAGTAAAAGAGTACTTGCTGGTTGTCTCTCTCTTTCACAAGGAGTTTTCAGAAGCTAATGACTTCTGCATGTCTCTTGGCTATGCCTAGCTGTACGGAGGCTGGAACAGTGTGGATATCTAGCTGGGCATATGACTTCCCAGAATCAAAGTATGAGAGGGGGACAATGGTTACTGAGTGGGCCACTAGCAACTCTGTTGCTGTTTCTTTTTTTTTTAATTTTTTTAAAGATTTATTTATTTATGATAGACATAGAGAGAGAGAGAGAGAGAGGCAGAG